ATATTACCATTATTACCTTAGTATTACACTTTTTACAAGTATTACATACTACTACCAAAATATTACTGTATTACAAAGTATTACACATGTATTACTGAGTATTACCCTTTATTACAAAAAGTATTACACGTCAAATAGCACTTTCTCATAAGTAGAACTTTCAATAAAATTATTATTTAAGAGAAAAACTTTAAAATAAGAAATAGAGAAATAAATAATTAAATATTTATAAATATTAGGGTAAGTGCATCAATTACGACGATAGCATCAATTACGGCGCGTTCATAAAAAATGACTATTATTACTATTATATTTAATATAACTGTTGCAAAATGATTAAAAAAAATTATTTTAATTTTTTTTTGATACAATTCCTAATGAATATTTAAACAATTATTAATTAAATTATTTATGATCAAATTTTTTCCCTTGCCGTAATTGAAACATTTTGCTTCCTCGTGGAGGAAGCTTTGTAGTCCTTTCGTTTTTAAAATTTTTACACGGAGAGAAAAATCATACCATATTCACATGGGTTGTGTCACTCATTATTCACATCACTTGTGACGTGCTTTTTTTAGACAAAATTCATGAGTTTATAGGGTCGTAGATTTCTATGCAAGAAAAGTTTGGAACATGTACTATATTTGCTTCAAGTCCATGTCGTCAATACTCTCCTCCACTCAATGCGAAATTTGCTTGAAATCCATGCGCTTTTCGGATGGATTTCTTGCAACAGAGATAGAAATGATAGTGCGCATGCGTGACTTCCGAAATGGAAATGGTGAAAACAAATTTTCCTCTATATAGAAACATGTTATATGAGATCCTGATCAATTGTCCGGATATATGTATGTGTGTGTGGATCATTTTTGTGAACACGATATCTCTCAAAAATGACGAGAGGATTTTTAAAAATACCCCCAAAAATCGATTGGTATATATAAATTGTAGATTTGATTGAAATTAATAGAATTAATGTAAGTTAAAAAATCAAAAATTCACATTTTAGCTAAAAAATGTTATGTTTTCTTAAATTCATGTTTATACGTATATAATTTTTACTTCTATTAACATTTTTTGTTTTGATTTTTTTTAAATTTTTTAAGGTATTACACCATAATACCACAATATTACAAGTATTACACAGTATTACATGATGTTACACAATAATACTGAAGAGTTATTCCAATAGTCAAAAAATTGTATTTATTTAAATGCAAATAAAGGAAAATGTAGAGTACTATATAATTTCAAGAATATAACGTTTCATTTTGGTAAATATATATATATATATATATACATGGGTAAAGAAAAATATAAGAAAGAAAAATACTGTTTTCATGAGTACACTTGCACTCAGGAGAATGAGTATATATATATATATATATGTATATATGTGTGTATATGAATGTCTAAACTATACACTAATATAGAAATTCTAAAAATGTAAAAGTGCATAGGAAGAATAAATTAAACGTTTAAATATTATATTAAATAATTAATAATAAATAAATAAAATACTTTTTTAACATTAACTTAAATATTGATAAATAAAATAATAGAAATTATTTTATTTTGCAAAATTTTTATAAAAATAATTGAATATTTAAAGAAAAGTTATAAATTATTTACAATAAAAACAAAAGAAAACGAAATATCAAGAAATAAATTTAAATCTGTAGAAATAGAATTTCAGAAATAATAAAAAGAGATAGAAGACATTCATAGATAACACTATAGACAGGTATACATGAGAAAAATAATAGTAAGAGAGGAAAGATATAATTTCGAATATAAAGAAATTATTAATTTAATTCAAATTTAAAGATTTTTTATTAACAATATTAAAAATAAATACAAACCATAATTAAATTAATTGACCATATTTTTCACTTTTTATATAAAATAATACAAATTATTTTATTTAACTGCTTAAATTAATAATATTAAAGTAAAAATTATATGTCATATAAAAGTAAAAATTATTTAAAAATTAATAGTAAAAGTAAAATCTTTGTCAAATTATTATTTTTTAAGATATTAAAGATTTAAAGAAACTATATTAATAATTGAAAAATGATTGACTGCTGGACAATGGCATTGTTCTCTGTATACGTTATAACGGAACTAGAAAGAGAGAAATCGCTCTGTCCTAACCAAAATAATTTAAATATTATTGGCTAAGAAAATAGGACGCCGCGAAAAATGCGTTTAGAGGGAAAATTTGGCGGTAAGAAATATACAGCAAAAGTATACGAAGAAAGGTAGGAAGGGAAAACCGCGGATTTTCAAGCAATCAGCTGTTAGAATTTCTCTCACACACTTACCAAATTTAAACCTACACAAGATAGAGAGAAATTTGGGGGATGAAGCGCCTTCTCGAGTTAATAAATAGATAAGGAGACCCAAATTTGGACATTCTCTGAAATTTATTCAAGCGAGCAAGTATATATTATTGATATACTGAAGTTTTGACAGATAGTTTTTTTTGTGTAGAGTGATATAATATTTTTGTGATGGGATTTTATGATATAAAAGTAAGTTCAAAAAAAATTAAGAACAATTGCTCAATATAAAATCTTTTTATTATTTAAAATATCATTTTTTTATTATATATATTTTTTATTTATTTTTTAATATAATCTTACATAATATCTGAGAGGCTGGTTTAACAACCGTTGCAACTCAGAATTATATAAGAAACAAACGTTTTAAATAAATTATAAATTCAATATTAAAAGTTTTCTAAAAACAAAATAAATATTTTCTTTCAAATATATCTATAGAAATAATAAATTTAAGAATTGATCTAATTTAAATAATTCTATTATATTATTACAATCATATCTGTTGATATAACTGGCACGTGTCCATTGTATCAAATAATTAAATTTGAAAATACAATGTCCCTTTAAATTTAGACAATAGCCATTCATTCTTTTGTATAACTTACGTAATGTGGGTGATCATCATCTAAACATTTATGTTTACGGTCATTTAACCACATTTTTGAACTTATTAATTTCTCAGAACCGAAGCAAATTAAGGCCTAGATTGATAAGAAGGTAAACATATACACGTATAATAGTATATATCCCCGGTGTGAGAGTTAATAATGCTTCAATACTTATTATTACAAGACATTACAAAATATTACAGGTATTACCAAGTATTACCAGGCAAGTGTACACTTGACTACTAGAGTAAATTCCCCCTCGCTCAAAATCCTAACGTGATACGCAATTTTGTAACCCGGGATCGTGTTCAGGACACAAAAATAAATTGGAAACCACTCTGATATCTCAAAAAATACCTTGTAGACTTGTGATGGTGAGACAGACAAACAGAGAGCGCTTATAGAAGACTGGATTCAGTGCAATGATTGTCACCTTTGGCTTCATGAAAATTGCACTGAATTTAATGATAAATGTTCGAAATGTGGTCAGAAAAAGAAAAGAAGACATTAATCACTTTAAATTAAGAATTCTGATAAAGCGAAAAGCCAAAGAATGATTTTAAAGTATTGGCCATCTCTCCCGTACGCCTATGGCCAATCTCCCCCGTACATTCCGGGAGAGATGGCCAAACGTGTTTTTTAAAAAATATTAATTTTAAGATTGCTTACATTTAAAAAATTTATCATTTCTATTATTATTTGTAAGTTAAATGTTCAATGTTTAATTAGCAATAAAAGTTAATACATAAATCACTTTCTTCTTATTTTTACAGGCCTTTAAAAAAACTATGGCCAACTCCCCCGGACTTACCCTAGATTAAATCATTTTTTTGAATTTTTGAAAATAATCGTTTTTTGTATTTTTTAAAATAACTTTTTCTGATATAAAAATTTTAATTAATTCTTGTCAAAATTGTATTCTTGGCGTAAAAACGAATCGATTGTGGTATACAAAGTTTACATTTTACTAATATTTATAAAATTGATCGCTATTTTAGTTGTAATGCTTCTTTTAATTTTGAATATAAATGTATCATGATGAGGAAGCTAAATGGTCATGAAATGAAACCTAGTTTATTGGTATTTTACTAAAATTGAACAAAAATACTTTATATAGGGATTTTAGATGCTTGTTGTTAATAAAAAATTAAATACTTTACAAACAAATAAAGTTATCGTAATTCTGAACTAACCAATTGAAAGTTAAAGTAATTCCGCAAATTCAAAAAAATGATTTCATCTATAGATTTCAGTAAAATATGAACTTTAAATAGGCTAATCGACTCGTTTTAATGCAAGAAATAAGTTTTTTTACTAAACAAAATTAAATTTACAAACAAAAAAATATTTTGAAAAAAAATTTTTTTTTAAATTTTGAAAAAATTGTAAAAAATAAAATGTTGTGAATATATTCGGAAATCCTTGTGTCAGATTTTAGGTATTAATGATTACAATAAGCATACAAAATTTCAGGACAATCCGTTAAAACGTTTCTGAGATAATTTGTACACAATATTTTGTGACATACACACACATAAACACACACACACACTCACACACATACATTCATCTGGACATTTGCTCAGGACTTCAAATATATTATTTCTAGACGAAAATGAGTCCATATGACCCAATTTTAAAAAATCGAAAAACGTCACGAATGCAAAGCTTCCTCATGAGGAAGGAAAAGATGAATACGACATAAAATGTGTGTTTTTTAAAGACCTACAACTTTTATTTAAAACATTTTTCAAAATTTTGCGTTATTTACGAGATAATTGCAAAAAACAATGATTTTCTGGTGTTTTTTTATAGTTTTTACCATTTGCGCCCATTTTCATTATTATTTTCGTAATCAGGTCAACAAAATTTTGTTAGTATATCAAGTTTCATTAAAATCGGGGAGGGATGCTTTTGGAACTATAACCGAGAATGAATTTAAACTATTTTTGTACGATTAAATTTTTTTTATTGTTTTTTAAATAGTGTTCTTTTATTTCCAAAACTTCTTTTAATTTTTAAAGAGACAACAGCTTTAGCCTACCTTTAATCCTATAGATTGCACCCATCTTATTACACGATCATTGCTCCAAACAATAACATCTATATTTTTACCTTCAGCAGTACGTCTTCTATCCTCTAACTGTTGTCTGTCATAATTTAGTCTCTTCAAACAAGAGATACCGTACTGCAAACTTGTCCTATAACAATTAAATTTGCTGATATAATTAATATAATAATAAAAATCCCAAACAATTTCGATAAAAAAATTAACGAAAACAGGGTACAATGAAAAAGTGACGCGCCCATGGAGCGTACTCTTCGCGCGTACAATGTACCAGGCCGGCGGTAAATATCGAAAACACATGACTCTTGAAATGTGTGCAGTACAATTTCGGTAAGTATCGGGTGGTCGGGACCACAACATTTGATAAGTGTCGGATTGCACCTTAAGTTATTGTGGGGCGTCAGACAGTGCCGTATCATGGTGTCTTCCAATACTTATTGATGTATAATGTATAATTCTCCTCGGATATAAAAGATTGAATAATAATTTAACCTTTATGGGACTGAGGAACAAAACACCTTCTATGGGCGGACGAGGTACCCGGGTACCTATGTTTAATTTATTGAAGATTTTGTATTAAAATAAGCAGTTCAATTAACTTTAAGTGTAGTTGACGTTTCAATGAAAGAAATAATCACATAATATGAATACACTGTAAAAGTAATAATTTTTTCTTTAAAAAAAAAAAAATTTAATAACAAAATAAATGTCAAAAAAAACTTATTTTTTCTTAAACCAAAATGTTAAATTCGACTTTTAAGATGCAACATTTTTAAGGCAGCTTTGCTGAATTTACGCAATGAAATTTCCATTACAACTACTAGCGATGATTTTAAGACTCATCTTGAAATAAGATTTTCTTTTTGCTAATAAAAAATTATCATTATTAGTTGATTATTAAAAAACTGTCCATTACGTATTAAGTATTTTGTATATATTCACAATTTCATTGATCTTTCATTGAATAGTATCCGTGTATATAATATTTGCTAGATTGCAAAACTGATACATATTTAGGCAGATTATTTACACAGGCACACAAAAAAAAACAAGTTGTCTGTTTCTTGAACTAGACATATATTTCCTATAGTATTTTGGCCCGCTGAAACCGAATCTGAGCTCAGAATTGCTCCATCACCCTCAGTTTTTTGTAAATCGACCAAAACCACCCCTAAGCGGACAAATTCACACTTCGGAGTATGTATGTAGTTTTGCTCTACTAACTCAAAAAAAGCCAGCATTGATCCATCACCCTCTGAATTTTTTTAATCAAAAAAACTACCCTTAATCTGAAGAATCAATCTTAGGAGGTAAAACAATAAAATAACTGATTAAAAAAGTTTATAACAAGGTATTTTTACTCCAGCAATGCGGAAACAAAGCCAGAAATGCTCCCTCACCCTCTAAAATTTTTTTAAATCGAAAAAACCATCAAAAAATCAAACTTAGGAGGTAATACAATATAATTATATTGTATTATCTCCTAAGTTTGATTCTTCAGATTAAGGGTAGTTTTTTTGATTAAAAAAATTCAGAGGGTGATGGATCAATGCTGGCTTTATTTTTTCGAGTTAGAAGAGCAAAACTACATACATGTAAGGTTCTGTTTTTAAAAAAACCTGTAATTTAATATTTTTTACTTATTAAATTTGAATTTTTCTACTTAAGGTTGGTTTTTTCGATTTAAAAAAAATTTAGAGGGTGAGGGAGCATTTCTGGCTTTGCTGGAGTAAAAATTACCTGGTTATAAAATTTTTTAATCAGTTATTTTATTGTTTTACCTCCTGAATTTGATTCTTCAGATTAGGGGTAGTTTTTTCGATTTAAAAAAATTCAGGGGGTGCTGGATCAATGCTGGGTGTCGATTATGTAATTTGATTTGACGTCAAAATCAAATTCATTTTAACGTCAAAGTCAAATTTAATTCAACAACTTCATTGTTTTATTTAACGACGTTAAATTAAAATTTAATTTTTTATTTCAACATAACATCGCATTCAAATTTATTTTTTTATAGCAATTTGACGTATTGCAATCAAAAAATTAATTTGACGTCAAAGTCAAATCAAATTACAGAATGGACTCCCTGGCTTTGTTTTTGAGTTAGTGGTGCAAAGTTTCGTAGATGTAAAATTCGGTTTTTTAAAAAAATAAGTTGATTTATTTTTTATCTCCGAAGTGTGAATTTGTCCGTTTAAGGGTGGTTTTGGTCGATTTAAAGAAAAACTGAGGGTGATGGAGCAATTCTGAGCTCAGATTCGGTTTCAGCGGGCCAAAATACTATAGGAAATATATGTCTAGTTCAAGAAACAGACAAATTTTTTTTTTGTGTGCCTGTGTTATGAAATCAAATATAAAAATCTAAGAAATTTATTTGTTATTATTTAAAATTTATTTTTAATACAAATTAATTCTATTAAAACTTCAATTTTACGGTAATTTTTAAATTAAAAACTGACGATTTTTTATGAGTATTATTATTTAACTATAGTAACTAAATTACATATTTTATAAAAAAAAATTATGTGCATTACTATAAAAATTGTTTAAAGTAATTTTTCATAATTTTTGAATAGAAATTTCTACATTTATCTGCATGAAAGGTACAGAGGTAGCCGGGTACCTTGTCTGCCTTTTAAGGGTGAAGAAACTTTGTTTATTATTTTCGAATAAATAAATAAAAAAGGTACATTATAAATAATATTAAAACACTTTATTCGACTTTATATGAATAATTTGAGATGTCAAAAAAAAATTGTACTGTACATGGATCCTTGCCATTGTGGCCTGGATTCCTAATGAATTACACATGTGTGTGTGAGTGCATTATTTACATCGCGCGATTTGTATGCTGTTTCTCTCGTGTGTATGGACTGAAATTTGTTACTCGGGGATTTTTTGCGGGACTCTAATTAGTAATTAGATAACATTGTTGTAAAAAATGACATCAGTTTGGTGGGTTCATCCTGGGGACGTATATTATTTACAAATATACTAGCTGATGACCAAGGTTGTAAGCAATTGAAAAAAGTTATGTTGTTAAACTTAAAACCACTTATATATTTATACACTTCAAAACTCAGTAATTTCAAATTTTGTGTTATTTTGTTACAAAAAAAATATTTATCTGAAATTTTGATCAATAAAAAAAAATGTCAGCCATATTTGATCTATCCTTTTAAATTTTTTAAGTTTTTTAAGTTTCATGTATAAGTACTTGTACATGAACACGTCCATGTTCTTGCACATGTTAATTCATGTTTTTCTATACTAAAAATTAAAAACTTCAAAGGCTGCGCAATAGTTTACTTTAACCTTTACAGCTGCGCAATAGTTTTTAGCATGCATGAGTTACGAATCTTAGTGGTCAAAAATTATCAAAATCTCAAATTTTATTAAAAAAAAAATTTTTTTACAACTATACATGTGCAAGAACATGAACGTGTTCATGCACAAGTACTTATACCTGAAATTGTACAAGATCATGTACATTTTCTTGTACAAGTATCTTCCTTGTACAAGATCTCACACATGAACTTGTTCCAAATTCGTATGCATTTTCCTGTACAGGAACTGGTCAGAACTTGTACAAGTTTAGTTGTTGATCCTGTACAGGAAATTGTACAAGATCTTATACAGGGAGTTTCAGTAGGGAATGGCGTGACGATTTTCAGGTAAATCTGATCAATTTTTCAAAAATCGTCCGCCAATTTGGATCGGACATTTTTAATTTCAAAAGTTTTGAAAAACTGATCTCATATTCGTAATCAGTGATTCCGAAAACCACCGAGTGATGATTTTCAGGTAAATCTTGTCGATTTTTAAAAAATCGTCCGCCATATTGGATCGGACATTTTAAATTTTGAAAAATTTTTAAACACTGATTTCATATTCGTAATCAGTGACCCCGAAGGCCCCCGAGTGACGATTTCCAGGTAAATCTAATCGTTTTTAAAACGTAAATGTATTGTCAATTAACGTAATGTCAATGGCAAAGATTTTGAAAAATTTGTCAAAAGCGTTGTTTTTAATAATTCTTAACTTTTTTGTTATTTATTTAAGTTAAAAACGGAAACGAGCATCGTAGTCTATATATCTTAGACGTTCTAAAAACCATTTTAAAAAATTTTATATACATTTTTGACTTTTTTATTTCAAGTTTTACGATGGCAATGATTGGCAGTTTCGTAGCACTCAGAGCAAAGTCCGAAATGGCAAAGATCTTTGTCATTGGCACTTAAGGGGTTAATGAAAAAAAATTAATTTTTTTTTAATTTGGGCCCGATTAAATTTTGTTTTTTATGATTTATTGATGCCTGAAAATATACAAAAGATTTTGCAAAAAGAGCCGGAATAGGCCTGATGAGTTAAATAAGTTTAAATGAATTTTTTAAAATTGCCTGCAAGATCCACGCGCACTATGCTACACAGTTAGCCGTGGACAAATTAACATAGAGCCTACAAATATAAACCGATTTTGACGTTCCACGGCCCACTGTGCAGCATAGCGCGCGTGGAGCTTACACGCAATTTTTAAAAATTCATTTAAACTTATTTAACTTATCAGGCCCATTCCAGCTTTTTCTGCAAAATCTTCTGTATATATTCAGGCATGAATAAATCATAAAAAAACAAAACTTAATCGGTCCAAAATTAAAAAAAAATTATTTTTTTATAAGGGTGAAAATTTTCCAATTGGGCCACCTAAAACTGACTTTTCAAATTAAAAATTATGTCTCTTTGAAATTCAATAGAAATTTCAATTAACCTTTATTGTTTATGCAATAAAATTGTTTATTTAATAAACAAATTAATATTTAAACTATTTGCCATATGTTTAGGAAAAAATTTCAAAAACGACATAAATCTACACTTTCTCAACTTTAATTTAAAAAAAAAATCTTAGTACCTTTAAAAAATGAGTGATATACGCGAATTTGAAGAGCGACGTGCAAGCGCTGGAACAGTCACCTCTGCCGCGCACGGCGCGCTACTACGCGTCGAAGCTTATTCTCTGTTATCAAATTATTGACTAGAATTCTTGAATATCAAATTTTTTCTTTATTTTATTATTTAAAAATCATATAACTTTTCATTACAACTGGTTTCTGAGATTTTTTTCAAAAAACGAAT